GCACACACACCCAGACAGCTCCTTCTCACTATAAACACACACGCACACACACGCACGCATGCACACATGCGCACACACGCCCGGACAGCTCCTTCTCACTATGAATACACACATGCACACACACGCATGCACACATGCGCACACACGCCCGGACAGCTCCTTCTCACTATAAACACACACACGCACATGCACACACACGCACATGCACACACACGGTGGAGGGGGCGAGGGAGCTCCCTGGGGCGCCTTTATGGAGGGCGCTAACTCCATCACGAGGGTGGAGCCTGAAGGCCCCACCTCCAAATCCCATCCCACTGGGGATTAGGTTTCAACATTCGAATTTTAGGGGACACAGACATTCCATCCACGGTACCTCCTTACAGTGTCCTGCAGGCAGGGCTGGTGTGTGCATGTGTGTGTATGTGGGCACCTGGGGGTTCTGGTCAGTCACAGCTGGCGCCCCTTACTTAGAGAACAGCTTTGAGACCTCACTCATGAGTGTGGGCAGACTCCCCCTTTGGATGGACCCCAGGTTTTTCTCTCGGTCCCCTGAGCCCGTGGTCAAGGAAACATGCTCAAGTTGCTGAGTGTGGCAAGAGGTTGCCTGTATTCCTCTGGAGTTCCTGACCTCGCCGGTTCCTGGCCTGAGGGCTCCTCCCCACGTCAGCCAGCCCAGCCTTGCATTCCAGAAGCTGTGAAGCCTGGAATCTAATGTAGTTTCATCGTCGTTATTGGGCAGGCCAGGCCAGGCATCTGCTCCTCCAGGAGGCAGTTCTAATCCCTGCTCTTTGATGATCACGATGGGGGTGAGGGGAGCAGTGCAAGTATACAGAGGACTCTGGTCCCAGGCACGCAGGGGCCTACAGCGAAGTGTTCCTGGGCTCAAGGTGGGGACCTCAGATGTGGGGTCAGGACAGGGGATCGGCAAAGGCTTCATGAAGGAGGGAGGGTGTGTGGGTCTTGAGAGCCGGCAGAAGTGAAGGCACTCTGTCCGAAAGCAGCGTTCGAGAGGCGCCTGGAACAGGCAGGGAGGGCAGATGTATGGGAGTATGGGGCAGTGCTGGGCCCACGGTGAGCCTGCTGGGGTCGCGGGAGGTCAGCACTCAGGACACAGCCGAGTGCAGGACCCAGGAAGGTGGCGTGGAGACTCAGGACCCCTGGGCTTCAGCTCAGCTCCCTGAAAGGCTGACACCGCTGGCCACACACGGCCCCGTCCCATTACTGCCCCCAACTCCGTCCCCTGTCCCTCCCCCACAGTCCTGCAGTGGCCTCCTGCTCCACCATTACTACCCAGTTCACTCTGCCCTGTCTCAGCGGGCGGCTTCTCCACCTTCCCCTCCGTGAGCTCCAAATGGTAGAGGCTTCTGTGTCCCTGGCACCTTCAGGGACCAAGCGCCACACCTGGACATGTTAGGGGCTCCCCTAGAGTAAGAGTTGCTCTCTTGGTGCTGGAGGAGGAAGGGAAGCCTCTCCCCCTCCCTGTACTGGCTGGGGGGAGGGGGGTGGGGGGCGCACAGTTGCTGAGGGCTGCAGGGAGACCAGGCTGGGTGAGTCCTGGTTCTGGGCAGGACCTGGGTGTGGTCACTTCCCCAGGTCCTTGGGGTGGGGGAGTGAGCACTGCTCCCCAGGAAGCAGGCAATTTGCATTATTTGGGAAGATAAGCCCATGGGAAAGGGGGCTGCAGGACCATAGGTGGTGCTGGGTCTGCTCCCTGCCATGGGAGACAGCCCAGCTTGGCATGCAGAGGAGGGGGCTGTGGAGAGGGTGAGTGGGGTTGTGGGGCTCCTCTCACCTCCCACACCGGAAGCAGACTCAAGCCTCTTGCTTTCAGAGCCAGCGCACACGCTCAGGGGGGCCCCAGGACTTCCTCCTCCTGTGGAAACAGGTCACGGCACTCCGCATACAGCTGGCCGAGCTGCGTGCGACCACAGAGAGGTGAGGGCACGGGGTCCACTGGGTTGGCCCCCCAGGTGTGGAGGAACGGACAGGAAAGGCGAGCGATGTGGGAGAAGCACAAACAGACAGAGCAAGGTAGGCAGATGTGCAAGGGGAGAGAAGGCAGTGGGACAGGCCAGTTAGGGGGATGCTGCAGAGGGGGGGATCCATAGGGCAGAGCCTCAGGGCCCCTCAGATCCCTCTGGCACCTCACACAGGTCTGACCTGGGATCCTTGAGGTACATGTCATGTCAGCACCCCATTCACATAGCAGGAGACTGAGGCTCAGAGGGTCGGTGTCGTGCTGGAAGCAGAGAGCCTGTCCTGGCCGGCCCCAGCTCCCCCTCCCCAGCTGGGATGTGCTGGAGGCTTCTGAGGATGGCAGGGGAGGGGGTCGGCTGTGGGCAGAGAGCAGGGCCCAGGTGACCAGATCCTGCTTCTCCCAGTGGCTCACAGCCTTCGGGCCCGGAGCCCGTGGACAGTCCTGAGGCTCAGCTGGGGGTGCTGCCCTTGTATCCCAGGGGTCTCACGGACATGCGAGCAGAGGCGGCCAGGACAGCCTGGCGCCTGCAAACGGCCTGCCTGAACCTTGACTCCAACCTGCGTCTGTCAGCCAGCAGCGGGGCCAGTGCCCTGGAGCAGCAGGCCCTGCAGGCTGTGCGGCTAGAGCAGCAGCTACGGGACAAGGTGCAGGAGATGCTCCAGCTGCAGGGCCGCTGGGACGCAGAGAAGGTGGCGCTCCAGGCCAGGTGGGTGCCGGGCGGCAGGCGGGCCGGGAGGCTGGACCTGCCAGCCCTCTGCTCACGTGTGTGGTGGAGCTCCTAGCAGCAGAGGGATGGTCCCCAAGATGGTGGGCTCACAAGTCCCTAACAACCTCCAGAGGCCGAGCGAGAGCGCCCGAACTTTGAGGGTTTCAGGGGACGCTGCAGTGGACGCATTTGGACTGTGTCCTCCTAGCTGGGTCCCAGAAGTGGACTTTTCCGGCCTAGAAGCACATCCCTCCAGAGGTGGGCGCCTGCTTTGAGGTAGCCCGTTTAAGAAGCTGAGGCAGGGGGAGGGGCCCAGGTCTACTCCTGGTGCAAATGAGCCTCAGAGCAAGCACACGAGGTTTTGGACGCAGAACCATGTCGGTGGCTCAGAAATCTCGGGAGGGCAGCTTCGGCAGGCAGTGGGGAGACAGCGCCCCAGGGAAGGCCTAACCTGCTGGCCCCGGCGCACAATTCACAGAACCTAGGATCACTCGGCCACAAACACCTGCAAGCTGAGGGGAAGAAACCTGCCCTGCCCTCAGGGGGCCAGCTGAGTCCAACAAACCCCAGAGCAGCCCCAAAGGAGCATGCTGGCCCAATGCAGCCTGCAGGGGCTTCACCCCAGGGCCTGCGCCAAAGATGCTGGGGCCTCAGGAAGGGAGACCCAGGTGCCACGGAGGGGAGCCAGGGGTCTTTGAGAAGAAGGTGGCTCCTGGGAAGGAAGGGACAATGACGTCACTTGTTAGATTTCGGTGGCTGAGGCGCTCTAGGCAGAGGAAGCAGCTGGACCAACGGCCCTAAGGACAGGGGCAGGGCCTCAGGGGCCACCGGCCATGACGCTGGAGAGCAAGTTGGGGTCAGGGTGGAGGCCTGAAATGCTGAACTCTGATTCTGCACGTTGCTCCAGGGACAGTGGGGGCCACTGAAGTTTCTAGAGCAGGAGAGAAGTGTCTGACCAGGCAAGGGACTAAGGCCCGCTCGGCCAATGCCAGGGTGTGGGCCACAGCACAGGGGGAGTGTGGACACAGCCCGTGCATCTTCGGGGCCCCCCTGCACTCTGGGCTTTGTTCTCTGCTCTGACAACCCTTTCCCCGGCCCCCACCTTTTCTCCAGGGTCTCCAAGCAGACGCTCCTGGTGGAGAAGCTCACAGAGCAAAACTCGAAGAAGGAGGCAACCATCTCTTCCCTCAGAATGCAGATCCAGAAGCTGGTGCGTGGGGCTGCGAGAAGGCGGGCACAGGGTGGGGGTTCGGCGCCGGCCCTGCTGAGGCATCTGCTCCGGCCACAGCAGTCCCAGCGCACCAGAGGCCAGCTGCTAGCGGACACCTCGGAGGACGAAGCCGAGTCCCTGCAGCACGTTCTCAAGAGCATCCCGGAGGTGCAGGCCCGTCTCGGTCCTTCCTGGGGTAACGCGGCAGAGGGGCTAGGATCCTGATGGCTGACCCTCCACAGGATCTGGAAGGGCCCTGCTTGGCCACAGCCCTGAGCTCTCTCCCTCCGTCCCTTCCTCTCTGCACCCTGAAGGTGGCCCGGGCGGATGCCGGGGGCCCGGAGCTGGCATGGGGTGGCAGTGCTGGAGCTGAGGAGGCCCGGGGCCCTCTGAGGAGGCCCATGCGCTCTGCGTCCCCCCACCGGGGTGTGTCCCCACCGCGGGCCCGCTCCCCGGACACCCCGGACCCCACACTGCAGGCTGTGCAGACAGCCTTTGGGAGGCGGAGGCTGCAGGAGCAGGTGGGCAGCCACGGGGCTGTGCACAGAGGGCCATTAGCCAGCCCGCCCGTGGCTTACCCAGGGCCGGACACCCCGCGGGCCCCAGGGAGGGAGGCCGGGGTGCCAGCGAGGGGAGCCAAGGGCCTTTGAGAAGGAGGCGGCTCCGGGGAAGGGTCTGGACACAGCCAGTGCATCTTCGGGGCCCCCCCGAGCTGCAGCCCCAGGGAGGAGGCTCCGGCCTGCAGTGCAGCTCTGCTGGGGGGAGTCTGGTCCAAGGCCCGCCTAGGCCAGAGGGGGCTCACGCTGCACACCCGCCCCGGGGCAGGAACTGCGCCTGCAGCTGGAGTCCTCGCAGGCCGTGGCCGCCAGGCTCCGGGAGCAGCTGTCCGAGAGCCAGCAGGAGCTGCAGGCCTCAAGGAGGCTCCTGCAGGAGCGGGTGCGGGAGCAGGTGCAGGAGCGCGAGGACCTCCTGCGCAGGCTACGGACGCAGAGCCGGGAGGCACAGCACTGCAGGGTGACCAGCGAGCTCCTGCGAAGGTGACCGCAGGGCTGAGCGGGGCAGGCCGGGCAGTGCCAGCCGAGGGGCGCTGCCAGCAGGAGAGAGAGCGGGCCCACCTCCAGGACAGAAACTGCTCCTGGCAAGGCCGCCTCCCTTGGCCTCACCTTGTCCCCTCAGCCCCACAGCCCCCTGCCTGCTCTGAGTCTCCTTGCCCTCATCTGGGCCCACCTGGGCTGTCTCTGCCCAGGCTCAGCCTATGCCCTGCCCCCTCCACCTGCATCCCCAAAGTGCAGCCTGGTTCCACCTGCATGCTCTCTCCCCGCTCCCGCCTGACTCCCAGGACTCCTCCCAGGAGTCCTGTCCATCCTTCAGAAATGGTCCGTAAATCCCCAAACTCCCTTCCCTCCACATCCATTGGGGCGGCCTGAGAGCCCTCCTGGGCTGTCCTGTGGATCTGGCGGCCTATGGTGCAGTCAGCCGTGAGGCTTTCTGGATGCTTCTGTGCACATCTCAGTGCTCTGGGGTCAGTGGGAGTGGGGAAGCACGGAATCTCCCGAGGCCCACAGTCCTGAGTGAGGGGCTAGGAGGGGCTTCCCAGGTCCACACCCTGCCTGGGCTGGGACGTGGGGGCCCGCAGGCTCTGACTGGAGGAGCAGGTGCTTCCCAAAGGGGCCAGGAGAGGGAGCAGCAAGGAGGCTGCCTCCCCTCATCCCCCCTGGGGGTGGGGGAACTGCGGCTCCCTCGGGGAGGGGGGGCTCCTTCTCTGGGTGACCCGACAGTGCCCTCGGTGCTGAGACCGGGGATCTGAGGAGAAATGAACCCAACCCTGCCTTGAGAGGCACCCGGGGAACGACCCGGGGAGAGGAGTTCAGCCCGGCGTGGGGCGTGGCACGGAGGGATGGAGGAGGAGGCTGCCTGGAGGCCCAAAGCCTTCCTGTGACAGGGGAGGGGGGGTCTCCCAGGGGCCGATAGGTGCAGAGTGGGGGGAGTGCAGAGCCACGCATGAGCAGGGTGAGGCTGGTGGGGGCCATCCCTCCACAGAGCAGAGGGCAGTGGGGGGGGGCAGGCTGCAGCACCCGGGACAGGTGGGCCGGCCCGGGTGGGCCCCTCAGCGTTGGGGGAGGAAAGGCCAGATCCCACGGGCCTTTGGGAAAGGGAGGCTTCGGACTGGGCGCTCCAGGGGCCAGGACCCGATGGGGAGCCGCTGAGGTCCAGATTCCTGGCTGAGGGGTGGCATGCAGAGAGGCCTCTGGAGTGGGTCAGCCCGTGAGCACGGCTTTGCACAAGAGTACTGCACCTCAAGGGCCCGGGGTCCCTGTCAGAGCGAGCTGAGCAGGGTGCTGAGCAGGGTGCCGGCAGAGGAGGGGCCCCGTCCTTCCCACTGAGTTCTGCAAGGACTAGCTGAGCTTGGCCTGTGGGTGCCAGAGGGCTGAGCATGGGACACACCAGGGAGCAAGACCCTCGAGTGCTTTCGGGGCTCACAGAAGCCGTCGGGAGGGGATCGGCCTGCCGGGGCCAGAGGTGGCTGGGTGTCTCCTGTCCCCCACCACGCTTCCCCAGGATGCTGCCCCAAGTGGCCCCCTGGCCTGGCACCCCCCTTGCCCTGCCCACGCTCCCGGCACTGGGCCAAGGTCTGACTCTACCCAGGGTGTGTCCCTCGGCTCCCCTTCCCGGGACCCAGTCCTGGGGCTGCCCCAACCTACACCCCCCTGTCCCCAGCAAGAAAAGGGCTCTGGAGACTGTGGCGGAGGGGATGAGGGGCAAGGCGGCCGTCTGAGATGGCTGGAGGCCACGAACCGTGGGCAGAGCAGAAGGAAGAGCTGGCACAGCAGGGCGAGCGGGGCCGCAGGGAGCTGGGGACCAGGTGCGCTGGGCAGACGGGCTGCCACGCCTCTCAGCCCCCGTGTCCCCAGCCACACACGGGGCCACGTCATTACCGGGCTCTTCTCCGGGAGTGGGGGTGCGTGATGGGACAGCAGGGGCAAAGGGTTCTCCAGAATCCCCCAGCCTGGGCTGTCACCCCCGCGCCCACACCCCTGCTCCAACCTCTGGCCCAAGGCCTACTCCCCGCCCCAGGGGCAGAGGTGGGCCCTGTGAGCTGTGTGTGCACACGGGCGTGCGCACACACACACTCTTCACCCAGGGCTGTCAGGGTATGGACCAGGAACACCACCGTCCCACTCAAGCCCTGAAACAGGGCTCACGAGCTTCCTGGCCCTGCAGGGCTACCCATGCTCCTTTGGGGCTCCCTGGGCTCAGAGGGAGTTGTGGGCCATCACCCTGCCCATTGTGGCCCCCTCTTGCCCTGAGGTGACCTCACACCCTCTGCCCTCTGGTTTCTGGGCCTCAGTCAAGGGCGCCTAGAACAGCTGGAGGAGAAGGTCTCGGGGCTCAAGAAGGAGCTGGTGGCAGCCCAGGAGGCACTGAACTCGGCCCGGCTGCAGAGGGACGTCCTGGACAGCGAGAGGGAGGGTCTGCGCAGAGCCCTGGCCCGGGTAGCCCTCCCCGCCCACTCTCTCCCACCCTGGGATCTGGCCCGCCCCCTCCCACTCACTTGTCTCCTCACCCTCCTGGGCCCTCAGTCCATCGGCAGAGTCCCCAGCCAGTGGGCGCTGGCCTATCCTCCCTGGCCCCTGGCCACACCTGCTTCCCCGTGGTCTCCCTCGGCTACCCTGCCACCTCTCCTGGCTGCAGCCTGAGGACCCAGGGGGCCAGCGTCCACCTCAGAGGCCTCCCCCACCGTCCCGCCCAGAGCTCCCTCCCTCCCTGGCACAACGGCTCTCTGCCTGTGGGAACGGTCTGCACGTGGATCCCAAAGTGTCATCGGGGTGACCGCACCGTCCCCCCTGCCCTAGGCCGAGTCCAGCAGCACGGACCTGGGACTGCTCGTGACGCGGCTGAAGTCGGAGGGGGTGGAGCAGAGGGACTCCCTGGCCAAGATGGCGGCCCTGACAGAGGCGCTGGCTCAGGACAAACGCAACCTGAGCCACCTGGTCCTGCAGGTGAGGCTGGTCCCCGGGCTGCTCTTGGAGCCAGGCCCGCCTGGCAACCCCACCCCTCCACCTTCTCCATTCCTGCCCAGGCAGCAGGGGTCGTGGGAGGAGGCATAAGGGAGCCTGCCAGGCCCTG